CAGGCTTCGAACTGACCCACTTCACAGCAGAACGAACGGTCACCTTGAGTTACCCTGGGTGTGCCCAGTGCTCATCCCTGCCCTGAGGTCACAGTGGGGTTGACCATCGCTCCCAGACTGTGACCACCCCCCCCATCAGCAACTGACTCACTGATTTTCACCCTAACGGGGGGCTGAGACTAAATGAGACCCACACTGTATCCACTTTTCCATTGGGTATTGTTAGCTTGTTGTAAAATAGTTCAAAACCAAGAATATTGACAAATTCCAAGGCCGGCGGTCTCTGAAGGCGTGCTGCTGGACTCTGCACCATGACCCTAGACTTCTGCACCGGAAGTTTGGCCTCACTGGATGGAAACCGTGTGACACAAAAATCCTCAATAACATTTCTGTTTTTCTATGAGGATCTGTATTATTAGTCCTCATGTAACCACATCTATAAACGTAACTTGATGTAAGTCACATACAATAATATATTACTGAAAATCCGTGAGTAGTGGTACCCTCTGGTGATTGTTTAGACACCAAAGTAGAACCGTGGGTGACCTTTACCTGATTCAGAGAAAGCCAGATCCCCCTGCCACTGATTGCTTAAATATACCCTGCACCTTTCAAGGACAGTTGCTGAAGGAGAAAGTCAAACACAAGATATGGAAGAAGCTAAGAGGGGACATTGGTGCTGGGCTCCTTCCTCCTCAAATGATGGCTCAGCCTGTGGGGGTCTGAGGCAAGGTGGCAGTGGGAGGGGTCACATGAACTAACTGAAAAAGGAGAGACAAAGAAATAGAAATCAGAAGATTTCACAATGAAATAAAGAAATTCATGTTGCCTTAAATATAATTTGTGTTAGTTACATTCCAATCCCTAATTTATACATAGCAGGGTTGATAAAGAATTACATTATAGCAAAATTAGCCAGAATAATTAGCATAGTGTATGTGCCACTGATTAAACACCCAGCAGATAGCTTGGTAATTAAGATCGGTGAGTGCCGTACGCTGAGGCTTTGTCGTCTTATTATCTGCCTAACAAGTGCTTCATCTTTGCCTCCCTTCTGATTTGAAGTTTGATAGCAATTGTTAATAATTCTCGGTTTATTTCTTTAAATCCCCTTACCCAAGTCCCAGTCATTTTCCTATGGTCCCTACCCTTCCTCTCTCTGTATGCCCACGAAGGTGCCAGTGTCCAATTTCTTTCAAAAGGTCAGGCATGTGATGCTGCAGAGCATCTGTGCTTGGAAATTCAGGCTCAAAATCTCTTTCAAAACCCATAATTCTTTGGCTGAAGGAAGAACCAGAGGCCAGCCATATGCTCTGCAATTTAGTCCAACATCTGACTTGATGAAGACTGGTCCACAGAGTTCAAATCTACTTTCCGGGCAGCGCCCATTGCCAGTGATTCCCAGACTGTCCCCCTCAGGGTCCATGAGCAGTCCCTGTGCCACAGGAAGGCAGCCCCTCCAGGGGCCGTGGCTGCTGGCTCACTGACGGCCCTAGTCACTCCTCCGCCTGGGAGTCTGGGGTCAGCTGCTGTCCTTGCAACATGCAGTGAGGTTTTGTCGTGGAATGCAAGAATTCAGTTACCGAAGAACAGAAGTCTTGGGGGTTGACTCACGTGCTTTACCACAGGCTGAGCCGGGTCTGCTGCATCTCTTTAGCCTGAAACCAGGACGTGTCTATGACCGTAAAGGCAGAGTGAATGCACCACCTACATCAACCAAGAGTAATGTCAGCTGCAAGTCACAGAAAGCATGGGAACAGCACTTAAGGAATAAAGACAAGAAGTTGGGCAGCTGGCAGCCTGGAGCTGGGACAAAGGTCCAGAAATGCCATCAAGGAACCGTCCACCTTGTCTCCTCTTTCTGTTCTACTCACCTTAGGACATTAAGCCTTTATTTCATGTCTGTCACCTCATGGCTGTAATATGGCTGCCACAGCTCCACACATCCTGTCCATGTTCAAGGAAAGAAGAAAGGGAAAAGGAAGTACCAGCCACTACTTCCCCTTTCAATCAGGAAAGCAAAAGGCTTCCCCGATGCACTGGAGTGCACCACGTCTGCTCTCCCAGAACTGGGCTGTAAGGGAGGCCAAGACATCGAGCAGCCAGCAAAGGAGACTATGACCAATGTTAGTGACTTAACAGGATTCATCACCAGGGCCCAGGCACACTGTCACAACAACAACAGCAACAACAAAACCCAGGCTTCATTAGGTAGGAGGAAGGAGAATAGACATTGGATAGGAACTCCTACCTGGCTCCTCAAATGCAGATGGAGACATGCTGGGAAAAGAAAATCATCCGTGAATGGAACAGAAGCTGCAAAATCAGGCACAGGAGCTGAAAGGAGAGGGGTGTGTTACTCAGAGTTCTCCAGAGGAACAGAACCAAGAGGATGTCTCTCTCCCTCTTTCTC